AAAATGCTTTTCTCTCAGATGTTGAAAATGACAAGGATGTCCGCTTTTGCCACTGTTATGTAACAGTACTGGAAGTCCTAGCTAGAACAGATGAGAGAAAGAAATAAAGCGTATCCAAATTGAAAAGGAAGAAATCAAATTATCCTTGTTTTCAGTTGATATGATCTTCTATTTAAAAAGTCTAAACACTTGCCTTAAAAAAGCATGAGAACCCATAAAAATATTCAGTAGATTTTCAGGATACAAAATCCTAGAAAATAAAGTTACTGAGAATTGATAATTCTAGTTAATGTACGGTAATTAAAGCTGCTGAAGAACTTAAGAGAAACAACCCTGTATGCAAAGTAAGTAAGTAAATTAAGAAATGATTTTTATAAGAAAAGTCACCAGGTTTGAGGATATGTGGGGTTTTTTTTCAAAAAAAAACTGGAGTAATATTGTCTGGTTCAGATGGTAGCTAAAAGTTGTTTCAGAATAGATGATGAAAGACAAAAATCAAATGGATGCAGAAAGTTGGAAGAGAAAGAGAATATTTTGCAGTTAAGTTGCCAGAATTCAAGTTATTATGAGTTTTTAAAATGTGTCTTAATATTAAAACTATAATCAAAACTATAATTTGGTCTTTTCAGTTAAAATCACAGTTTTAACAACGTGTTGCTCTGCTCTTATTAGACACTGGTTAAGTTTTCTCTTGGTCCTTTAAATACTTGGCCTATGAAACAAAAAGATTTTATGTTTTATCAAGATGATGTTCTGTGATTCATATTGTCTTTAGCCAGTATTTGATTACTTAAGAAAACTGAGTTTTCTCAGTATTAAAAGAGCTAACTTTTTTATTTTTTCACAATAACATCACTTTTTCTATTTGCCTTTGAAATCTTTGTCATTTTGGTATTCTTTCAATTTGTGACTGTATTTAACCAATTATTTAAGTCATTTGGTATTTTTAACAAACTCCTCCAAATAAAATTCTAAATTGAGTTCTTTTTGACCTCAACTGACTTTGGGATTTCCTGGATGAGCCCCTAGAATAGCTAAAGAGAATTTGTTTTATCTTTTTTAAAAAAAAGAGATGTTAAGCTAATGAGGCTTATTTGATACGCAAAATTGAAGGAGACATATTGTCCAATAAAAGCAATGTTTACATTCTTTGTTATACTTTTAGAAATATGTATGATTAATATACATATTCTAGAATTTTATTATTTTTCTAGAACTCTGATATGCACTAAAATATTGTGATCAGTTATAATTCTAATTATTATCTCATTATGTTATATGGAACACAATGACAAAATTCTATGTAAATAGCATTGTAATAAACTCTTAACAAACTCTTAACAAATCCGTAAGCTTGGCCATTTAAACATTTTTTGTAATTCACTGAGAGTTTGTTGTTTTCTGCTGATGCTATCATAAAAGTTTTTGGAAGCAGCTGTGATATAAAATCTCAACACAAACATGGAAAAGACTCTGACAAGTGGAGAGAGATTTCTGATAACTATAAAATCACAATATTTAACAAGATTTAAATGAACTTTATTAGTAATTTGTTCAAGTACACCCTTTATAAATAGAATTAACATATTTACCTTTTTCTCCTTAGCTGATCTATCCTGAAATCAGAAACTATCACTAAATATTCTTATTTTCATGGCAATGGAGGTATTTGGAAAAGTTTATTAAGAATCTGTTCTCCTTATGACACAACACATTGGAAAACATTGGTTATGTTTCCAGAACTTTGACTGGAATGTCATATTTGAGAATGAGCATAGAATTAGAAATGACTGGACAGTTTTATGGAACTAGGAATTAACTTTATGGAGCAAATTAAGACCTGCCTTAGTCCATTTAGAGTTGCTATGAAGGAATACTTGAGGCTGGGTAATTCATATATAAAATAGAATTATTTGGCTCACAATTCTGCGGGCCGTACAAGGAGCAAAGTGCCAACATCAGCTACTGATGGGGGCTTCAGCTTGCTTCAGTAATAGCAGCAGGTGTCATGTGCAGTGATCACATGGTAAGAAAGGAAGCAAGAGAGAAGCAGGGAGATGCCAGGCTCTTTTTAATAACCAGCCATCAAGGAAACAAAGAATGTGAGAATTCATCCATACCATGAGAATTCCCTCCCTTGACCCATACACCTCCATTCTGTTTCACCTCCAACATTTCATTCAGACTTCAACATGAGATCTGGATTGGCCCATCAAATCAAGCTATAGAAAGTTTCTCAAGAAAAACTGGCCTGATATCTGCTCACAGCTTTTCAGCCTTACCGGCTGAGAAGAAGGTCACTTTCTAGAAGGCCCAGGAAACTGAAAAATCTTTTCAGGACCTCTTTTGAGTACAGACAAATTTACCTAAATCTATGAATATTGCAGGTCAAGACAAACGGTATGTTCTTAGCATGACATCACAGCCTCTCCAGGCTACGATGTCTAATTAAAGATTAAAGTCTAATATGAGATTATTTATTAAAGGTCCTAACACATCCAAATTAAAAAGAGGTCGGTCACTATTTTTACTGCACTTATACTCAAGTCCTTATTAGATGACCTAGACTATTTTAGCATTTAATGCATTTGTAAAGCCACATTGAATAACATACAACACTGTAAAATGTTTTTATTTGTTTTCTGGTAACATTATTCAATGATGATGTGAACATGATTAAAATTTCTTAAATGCTATATTAGGAATATATTTATTAGTTTACTATATATTAAACCTTAGGTCATTAAAGTACTAGAATTTTGCAAAATCTTTGAGTGCTGGTAAGACATACACACGTCTAACTTGCACAATCTTGTGACAGCTTTAGTAAATACAGAAGAGAGATTGTATGAGAACTAAACATTTCTTTTGAAAATTTTTGTCAATGAATCTATTACTTGATTGTTTCTCAAGCTGTAGATCATGGGGTTTAATAAAGGAACTATGACAGTGTAAAATAGAGACTCCATCATATCTTGGTCATCAGCCTGTGGGGAAGCAGAGCCCACATACATGACGGCGAGGGGCCCATAGTATAAAGATACAGATAAGAGATGAGCTCCACAGGTGGAGACAGCTTTTTGCATCCCTTTGACAGACTTATTTTTTAAGATTATAAGGAGGACAAGTGTATAAGATATAAGAATAGTTCCAATGGTAAAAACTTGAATTGAACCTGCAAAAATAAAAACCATCAGAAAGTTAATAGAAGAATCAGTACAGGAAATCTTTAATAATGGGATAATGTCACAGTAAAAGTGTTGTATTATGTTGGAATTACAGAATGTTAATCTGAATAAAAAAATTTCATGGATTAAAGCATGAAGAAGGCCACCTAGAAACGACAAAACTAACAGCCGGATGCATAGTCCATTGGTCATAATGACTGGATAAAGTAAAGGTTTGCAAATGGCTACATAGCGATCATATGCCATTGATGCCAAGATAAAACATTCTGTGGTTACACCAATTGCAAAGGAAAAAAATTGTATCATGCATTCAGAGAGAGATATCATCTTACTCTTAGCTAAGAAGTTGATCAGCATCTTCGGAGTCACTGTGGATGATAACCAAGCATCCACAAAGGCCAAACTCCCAAGGAATAAGTACATTGGGATATGAAGGTGAGGGTCTTTCCAGATGATGACAATTAGACCAAGATTCCCCATGACGGTGATGAGATATATGACCAAGAATGCCAAGAACAGGGGTATTTTCCACTTTGGTTGATATAAAAATCCTGTGAGAACAAACTCTGTCAGCAATGTTGCATTTTCCTCTTCCATGTCCTCACTGCATGTCCTCTAAAAAATGAAATAAATGTAAAGGAACATTCGCAATGGAATTGTGAGTTGAAATTGGGGAAGAAGTGTTCAAATAAACCATGTAATTATCAGAGCCCTCTTAATTTTTTTTAATCAGCACTCTAATTGATGCACCCTATATTTGAGCATTTAAATACATGGGAAAAATAATACATTTTGGTTTGAAAATTGTGTAGGAATTAACAGATTGAGATTTAAAAAGATGCATCATCTAAATGTACTAAATTTTTGTGGACTCTACTGAATATAATAGGAAAACCTTCTGTCTGGGATATGGATGTAGGGTGAAGGAAAAAAGATATTTGAAAGGCCTGTATTAAAAATGGAATGAATGTAATGTGGAGAATCTCAAACTTTATTCTTCACATGATAAACATGCACCAAATATTTTAAAATGGGAAATGGCATTATATATATTATATATGCATATATGTGTATATATATTATTATATATGGCATTATATATATTATTTATATAATTTATATAATATATTTATATATTATATATTATAAATGGCATTATATATATTATTATATATGCATATATGTATGTATATATTATATATACATACATATATACATATGTGTATATAATATTATATACACATATGTGTATATATGTATATAATATTATATACATTATATTATATATACACATATATGTATATATATTTTTGGAGGCAGAGCTTTGCTCTTGTTGCTCAGGCTGGAGTGCAATGGCACGATCTCAGCTCCTCATAAAGTGCTGGGATTACAGGTGTGAGCCACTGCTCCTGGCCCAGTATATTTTTAAAATAGTATATTTTTAAAATTTAGTTCTTGATAGTGTAAAAGTATGCTGCAGGAAGGAGAAGCTGATTCAGGAATCCTAATTAGAAACTTGATACTAAGGTCAAGGAGATCCCAAATTAGATTACACATGAGAATCATCTGGGAGACTTTTGTTCATGAAAAATGCAGATTATGAGGTTTTAATGTAGAAGTTGATTATTTCAGGAATGAGGTCTAGGAATCTGTATTTCAAAAATACCCTCAAGGTGATGGATATGCATGTGAAGAGTCTAGTCCCTGTGTGATATGATATTGGAAGGCAGGTAGGACAAATGAATAGATTCAAAAGAATTCAGAATGTAGAGTCTTTAATTTCTGTGACATATTTGGTATGAAATACGTCATCAGTGAAGGAGAGAGAAGTCACTTGGTGACCAGGTAGATGGATATTAAACATTGAGGATGGGAACTCGAATTGCTGACAAGTTTTTGGAGTGAGCATCACATCTGAGCAACTAGGTGAGATTCAATCAGTAATATGGGCCTATTCAAGCTTAATAGAAATAATTACTTGGAATCATTGTAGTATTTGAAAGCATCATTAGGAATGATGCACAAAGTGACTGTACATTCTTTATAAGATGGCCAAGATCTAATAGTCTTTTTTGCCACCCATGTCTTGGGGGCTGTCAGAAGGTTACCTACTACTATAGAAGCCAAAACAACTGGAAACTCATTTTCCCATTCTTCTTGCCTCTAGAGTGAAGAAACAATGATCTAGGATGGCAATGAAACACACTGATCCTACATTTTGAATATGGGTAAAAGAAGAAAAAAAAGACAGGATCAAAAGTGGACTTTAGTTGTAAACTCAGCCATGGCAGAAATACAATGAATCCACTGAATGCATCCTTCATTTGACAGTATGAGTTGTCACATTATACCCAGAAGTGGGGATAAGAATACAGGAGTTAATTTTTAAGTGACTGACCTTAAGAGTTTTAGTCTAAGAAAGTGATTAATTAGAAAGAATGAGTATTTCTGTCAGAATAATCCAAAATAATTTTTAGAATCACTATGATCAAAACTAGTTTCAATTGTTTAATGTCCTAGATCACCACAAGTTGTCATATAAAGTCATAATAAGGTTAACAACAAAATAAAATATCACTAAAAGAACAATGCTGTCTTATAACTATTTATCCTATCCATATCATAATCATGAAACTAAAATATAGAGATAAGCCAGTAATAGTTATCTAATTTCAACCTGGCTATTTTGACAGCTTGTATACCCAATCTAAAATTATGGTAAGTTAACTAGCATTTTCAACATTTCTACGAAGCATAATGAAAATTATAGATATTTTTTCTTACCCATATTTTGAAAGAAATTTAGGATATCCTCTAAAACCATTAGGCTTTCTAAAACAGAAAAAAAATACAATTGCACAGGAATGCTGATAACACAGGTAGCAATTCATTGCATATTCATTCTTTTGGGAGGCTTCTTTCTGCAAGCTCAGGAAACTACTGTTTACATAAATTTGGATTGAACAGAAGAGTCATTCAATTGTATAACTCTGTACTTTTGCCAGAAGATGATTGAATGGAAAACTGAAATTCTCATAAGAGTGCCAAGGGATTCCCTATGGAACAAACTGAAGCTGTTCTAGTGTGTATTGTGGATTTCAACATATATAAAAAGTCCAGATTGTCCCCAGTGGCATTTAACTTCTGGAATCATAAACACTTTTTCATGTGAACACTTCTAGTTTTAACAAATGAAATAATATTTTATATACTATTTACTGCTACAGATGACACTTCTGTCATGTTTGTATAAACTTTAGTTAAATATGAAATTTACTCTTAGTGCTTTGATTAGTATAATCTTATCTGAGGTAATCAAAACATAATTTAATAAGGCCAATGTTTCTGATTCCCTTTAGGAGACAAACCCGAATACGGTTGTCTTTCCCATGAAAACTGCAGCTCAAATTTTAGACATATACCTAGTTCCCCCATTTTGTGCTAAAATCTGATGGGAAATCTTATTAGACAAAGTCAGTGGATGAAACAATGAAAAATAAAGGCAAGGACTGCAGTGGGAAGTGCCCTGAATTTTTCTGACATAAAAAGAAACACATAGATCAATGGAACAGAATAAAGAACCAGAAACAAATCCACACATCTACAGTGAATTCATTTTTTAACAAAGGTTCCAAGAACATACATTGGGAAAAGACAGTCTCATCAATAAATGATGCTGAGAAAACTAGATATCCATATGCAAAAGAATAAAACTAGACCCCTATCTCTCACCATATCCAAAAATAAAATCAAAATGAATAAAAAGCTTCAATCTAATACCTCAGACTATGAAACTTCTACAAGAAAACATTGAGGAAAGTCTCCAGGACATTGTTCTGGGCAAAGATTTATTGAGCAATACCCTACAAGAATAGACAACCAAAGAAGACATGGACAAATGGGATTACATCAAGTTAAAAAGCTTCTGCACAACAAAGGATACAATCAACAAAATGAAGAGACAACCCACAGAATGGGAGAAAATAGTTGTAAACTACCCACCTGACAATGGATTAATAACCAGAATATATAAGGAACTCAAACCCCTTTATAGGAAAGAATCTAATAATCTGATCAAATACAGGGTAAAAGATTTGAATAGACATTTCTCAAAAGAAGACATACAAATGGTAAGCCCGCATATGAAAAGGTGGTCAACATCCCTGATCATTAGAGAAATGCAAATCAAAATGGCCTGGCATCTAGTGCCTGCCGTTTTTCCAGGCACACAGTGCAAGCTGTCAGTGGATCTACCATCCTGGCATCTGGAGGACAGTGGCCCTCTTCTCATAGCTCCACTAGGCAGTGGCCAGTGGGAACTCTGTGTGAGGGCTCCAACCTCACATTTCCCCTTCCCACAGCCCTAGTAGAGGTTCTCCGTGAGGTCTCCGCCCCTACAGCAGACTTCTTCCTGAACATCCAAGTGTTTCCATGCATCCTCTGAAATGAAGGCAGAGGTTCCCAAATTCTTGTCTTTTGCATACCCACAGGCCACAGGAAGGCCATCAAAGCCTGGGGCTTGCACCCTCTGAAGCAATGACTCAAGCTATACCTTGACCCCTTTTAGCTATGGCTGGAGCTGGAGCAGCTAGGGTGCAGGGTGCCAAGTCCCAAGGCTGCACAGAACAGCGGGGCCCTGGGCCCAGCCCATGAAACCACTTTCCCTCCTAGACTTCTTGGCCTGTGATGGGAGGAACTGTCATGAAGATCTCAGAAATGCCCTGCTGACATTTTCTGTATTGTCTTGGCTATTAATATTTGGATCCTTGTTACTCATGCAAATTTCTGCAACAGGTTTAAATTTCTCCCCAGAAAATGGATTTTTCTTTTCTGCCACATGGCCAGGCTACACATTTTCCAGACTTTTATGCTCTGCTTCTCTTTTAAAGATAAGTTCAAGTTTCAGAAAATCTCTCTGTTCACACATATAATCATACACCTTTAGAAACAACCAGGTAACAAAACATCTTTAATCCTTTGTTGCTTAGAAATTTCTTCTGCCAGATACCCTAAATCATCTCTCTCAAGTTCAAAGTTCCACAGATCTCTAGGATCTCAAGGGAAAAACGCCACCAGTCACTTTGCTAAAGCATAGCAAGATTGACTTTTACTCCAGTTCCTAATAAGTTTCTCATCTCCATCTGACTACCTCAGCCTGGATTTCATTGTCCACATCACTAAGAGCATTTTGGTCAAAACCATTCAACAAGTCTCTAGGAAATTCCAAGCTTTCCTTCATCTTACTGTCTTCTTCTGAGTCCTCCAAACTGTTACAACCTCTTCCTGTTACCCAGTTTCAAAGTTGCTTCCTCATTTTCAGGTATCTTTATAGCAGTGCCCCACTCTTCTGGTACTAATTTTCTGTATTAGTTCATTCTTACACTGCTATAAAGAACTACCAGAGACTGAGTACTTTATGAAGAAAAGAGATTTAATTGACTCATAATTCCATAGGCTGCACAGGAAGCATGGTTAGGAGGCCCCAGGAAACTTACAATCTTGGAAGAAAGTGAAGGGGAAGCCAGCAAGTCTTACCATGGCAGAGAAGGAGAGAGAGTGAGCAAAGAGAGAAGTGCCACACACTTTTAAATCACTAGGTCTCATGAGAACTCACTCACTATCACAAGAACACTAAGGGGGAAATCCGCTCCCATGATCCAATCACCTCCTATCAGGCCCCTTCCCTGACACATGAAGATTACAATTTGATATGAGATTTGGGAGAGAACACAGAAACACAGAGCCAAACCATATCAATAAATAACACAGGAGTCACTGAAAACTCTTCAGAAGGGTGCACTGACATTACACAACATTAAATTATATTGCCATGTACTTGTGTAACATAATGCTGGCAATAATGAGAAGGATAAAGAAAGAGATTTAAGGCATTCGGAATGTAGCATCACTAGGATATTGCAAGGCATTCAGAATGTAGTATCGCTAGAGTTCAAATATTTAGTCCCGTATTTGATGGGAAAGTAGTATTTACTGAGGGAAAATGGAGTCTCTTTATGAGTAGATGGATCGTCATCCAAAATAGAGACTGAGAATTCAGATGCATTGACAAGTGTGTGGTGTGAACATGCCTTGAACATCGGGACTAGCTGGTTAGTATTAGTAATATACTACTACTAGAGCAACAGAAATAAAAAAATAAGTTGGGTGTCATTGGAGTAGATGAGGGCATAGTTATGAATTACTTGTCAGAGAGTATACTGAGAAAAGAGAAGTATGGAAAGAAAAAAATGATGGTAGAATGAGCTAATTTTCTTTGGATATAGTAATAGGATTGCTAGTAATAGTATCACTGGGTCAAATGGCAGTTCTGTTTCCAGTTCTTTTTTTTTTTTTTTTTTTTTGAGACGGAGTCCTGCTCTGTCACCCAGGCTGGAGTGCAGTGGCCGGATCTCAGCTCACTGCAAGCTCCGCCTCCCGGGTTTACGCCATTCTCCTGCCTCAGCCTCCCGAGTAGCTGGGACTACAGGCGCCCGCCACCTCGCCCGGCTAGTTTTTTGTATTTTTTAGTAGAGATGGGGTTTCACCGTGTTAGCCGGGATCGTCTCTCGATCTCCTGGCCTCGTGATCCGCCCGTCTCGGCCTCCCAAAGTGCTGGGATTACAGGCTTGAGCCACCGCGCCCGGCCTCAAGTTCTTTGAAAAATTTACAGACTGCTTTCCACAGTGGCTGAAGTAATTTACATTCCCACCAACAGTATATATATGTTCCCTTTCTCTGCAGCCTCTCCAACATCTGTTTGTTTTTTTTTTAACTTTTTTTTTGACTGGTGTGAGATGGTGTCTCATTGTGGTTTTGATTTGCATTTCTCTGATGACTAGTGATAATGAGTATTTTTTCATATGTTTGTTGACCACTTGTGTGTCTTCTTTTAAGAAGTGTCTGTTCATGTTTGCTCATTTGTTAATGGGGTTATTTATTTATTTATTCTGGTTGAATTTTTTAAGTTCCTTATAGATTGTAGATATTAGACCTTTGTTGGATACATAGTTTGCAAGTATTTTCTCCCTTCATGTAGGTTGCTTTTAAACTCTACTGATAGTTTCTTTTGCTGTGCAAAAGTTCTTTCGTTAGGTCCCACTTGTCAATTTTTGTTTTTGTTGCAGTTGATTTTGTGGACTTAACAAAAAATTCTTTACCAAGGCCAACATCAAGAGGGATATTTCCTAGGGCTTCTTCTAGGATATTTATAGTATGAGGTCTTACATTTAAAAATTTAATCCACCTTGAGTAAGTTTTTGTATATGTTGAAAGGTAAGGGTTCAGTTTTGTTCTTCTGCTTCAGGCTAGCCAGTTATCCTATCACCATTTATTGACTATGGAATTCTTTAACCACTGCATGTTTATGTTGAACTTGAAAGTCAGATGGTTGTAAGTGTGTGACTATCTTTCTGAGTTTTCTCCTCTTTTCCATTGGTCTATGTGTCTAATTTTGTACAAGTACTATACTGGCTTAATGAAAATCACTGTGTGTAGAAATTAAGCAATTTTTAATGGCTTTAGTGAGAGCAATTTTCCTTACGTAATAGAATAAACGTCATCAAATAAGAAGTGAATGGGAAACAAGTAGC